CAAACAAAAACAAAACAAACAATCATTATCAATTTTATTGAAGTCATTTACAAATCAGGCGTTTAGGGTAAGAATTAATAACACAACATTATTTAATTTATTTTCAATTTACAGCTGAATATTTATTTATGTATTATTATTCTATTTAAATAAATTTTACTATTAACCACAAGAATTGGTGAGTCAGCAACCTAATCATTTTGTTCCCAGAGTGGATCAGGCAATCACAGCGTCAACAATAGAAAACTTCATTAGTAAGTCTAAGAATCTATGAGTGAAAGCAAAGTAGAATATATTATATTATGTCAACAGCATTACGTTTGCCATATCCAGTGCCGAGGAGCCCTTTCACCTAATACCAGAGCTCATCAGGTTGGCAGTGATCTGGGCGCCACACGACAACGCTATATTCATTATTGTTGTCACACGGCAGACTTATGTTGGTTGTTACAGCGAAGTAAAAGAGTTATACTAATTCTTATCGCCACGTGCAGAGTTAAGACAGTTCTTATAAAATCACGCGACAGAGTTATTGGTTTTGTACTCATTTAACAAAAGTATGTTGATTTTTAAATCTTAGCTTAACAAATTTCTTATGTTTTTATAAGTATATGTTGCTTTATGTCGAAATACATTCCATAAGAATGAAAGATATTAAGTCAATAATATGTATTCATTTTTACATGATCTTAAAGACTACATTTCCAAGTCATCTTTGTTAACATGTTAACATTTTTCATAATTTAGGCTCCAATTTATAAACACAGTACATAAATAAATAAATATATATATATAGTTCTTATTACGCTATTATACACTATAGCAGGAACTGTTGTTATAAACCATGAATTCTGAGAGTTCGTTGAATATTTTTTAGACTTTAAATTAAAGACTTGTTTTTATACCGTTCACCGCCGGTAGGATCTGCATACTGCACTCGTATTCAGTAATGTCATGTTTGTCTGTGTAAAGAACTGGATGAGATCACTCGTTTTCTATGTAAAATGTATGCCATGGTATAGAAGCAAGCAGTGCTTCTTTTTTTTGTTTTTTGTTTACACTTTATGTGCTACTAACCTGCTATATAAATAGTTTAGAAAAATGTGCTTATGTGGTCAACATATGACTCCACCGATAATACTAGGATTAATGTTATCCTGACAGCATTTCAAAATAATAAAAATAACACTTTTAAACTTAGGCTTGTCGAGGGATAACTGACCATTTCTTACTCTGTTTTGAATAGACACTTATTGGCAGCGTGTTTAACAAGTTTCTCCTCCAGTTTTAATCTCAGGTTTAACTTCACATTCACATCAGTGTGCGATATAATTTGTAATTGCCACTTCCATTGGCTGTCGATCAGTAAATTCATCTCACGTGCAGATAGTTAGAACAATAATTTATACGAAAAGCGATAATAATTATATAATTGAACGTTACAAAATATATCGATAATATGAAAGTAAAAAAAAAAAATGCTTGAATGTTGTTAATGGCATCTAACATAATATTGAAAAGGACGCAATGATCACAACAAACGTAATTTACCCGAGAACATGTTGGTGTAACACAAAAGACGAAAAGATCTAGCAGGTATCGAAACCCAGTTTTAGCGTTATATGAAAATATAAAGAACATAAAGAACAGGAAATAAAAATCAACATATAAAGACACTCTGCTAAGAAAGAAGGCCGAAGAAACAAATCAGAAATTAAATTATAGTTTTTACTAGACGAAAAAGCTAAAGGCAGAAAAGAATATTTAGTTGCAAACTAGGATTCTAACAATCTCAAATTTACAACATTACCAACTTCTAGTAAATTTAAAGTCCAACCACACGTTTATTGCACTTTTCCATTGAAAATAACCTAAAATGTTTTTTGTAGGTAATGCATATGCTTGCATTTTAAAGACTGTTTTCAAAGACTTAGTAATGAAACAAGATTCTGGATTCTGAATTATAAAAGTAATATTGTTTACACGTGAGGATTCACATTCAAGTCAAGTTTACTGCCAGTTTAAACATAACGATATGAGGTGTGTTTGGGTTACACGGCACATGAAAAACTACCATTCCAGATTTTCGTGTTTATCATATGCCCGGATACTTTGTAGAAGAAAAAAACATGAATTGTCGCAGGTGTTGGCAAGAAAAGTCAGCTGCCTATAGGCTTACGTTGTGTTTTGTTCTTTAATAAATTGTGTAAAAATTAGTAATAATGATCAGTGCATCAAGTAGAAATCTATTACTTTTTACTTATGCAAATAACGTGGTCACAAGACTTTCAAGGAAGAAAGAAAAGTAAATTACTACTGCTAACAATTCAGAGCTTCTTCATGGAAGAGAAAGTTAGATGGTGTTTCACCACACACTTTCCAGCCTGATGAAAAGTTGTTCTATTAAATCAATAAATGTGTGTATATTTCTAAACAGTATACGTAGAAAAGGGTCTCGAAACTAAAACTATGATGTCAACCTTTCAAAACTTTCAAAGTATCCATCATGACTTTTCACTGAAAAACAACAACAGCAAAAGTCATCATCATCATTAGTATAAAACTTAACGTGTATAATATGGTTTAAATCACTCCTGGTGCGACAGTTTATAATTCTTTTGTAATATTCTCTTCGTGCTCCTACCTACAATGATATTTTTCGACATGCCTAGCGTGTACAAACCCCGGATAGGGATCAATTTTTTTCCTTTCTTTTTTTTTTATGTTTTTGAGATGAGCGTCAGAGTGCTAGAATTCAGAGATGTAAAACTAACACCCCAGGTTCTAAAACATATAATCAAGTAACAAAATGACTTCTTACAAAGATATATTTATATGCATTGAGACAGAATGCTGCACGATTTAGCGTTTAAAATGCCAACACATTTCATGAACTATATATGTAATTATTAAAAAGAGTACGGTTTAGCAATTGCACATGTTAACACTCTGTGGGGAACAAGAGGTTATAGGTCTGTTTTAACACCCTTCAATTCTTTTCCTTAGATGGGTATTTTAACTACCTCCATCCCGAGGTGTGAAAGAAACAGCGCATGAGTAGAGTAATTATATTTACTTTTTAAGGATATTCATGTCAAGAAACATTCGCTAGGGTTGACACTCACTATGAGTTGAGTTATAGGTGTATTATGTACGTGTAGGGATAACTAGTGATTATATTGCGTAAAAAAAAACTGGTTTTTGTCCAACGCAGTAAAAAAAATATGTTTTTTTCCAACTGTTGCATTTTAAGCAGTGCAACCTATCTATGTTTATCAATAACAGCTACACGGTAATCTTATTGGCCATATTTAGTAAGAATTTTAAATATCTTAAGTAGGGACATATATTCTCAAAATTCAACACTGACGCTGTAAAGTATTAGATGGAATACAATGAATCGTTTGGAAATGTGCCAAGTCATTAATCATCGTCGTCTTAAGTAAACTACACTAACGTGTTTTGGCCAACTAGTTTACCTGCGTTCACATTTCTTTTAAATTTTGGGAGAAAACAAACATTTTGTGTACTTTTGTCGTTTTTTCAAATTTGTAATGCATACTGGAGGGGCTTAGACATTTTGGTAATAAAGTTAGGGAAATACAAACATTTTACTCTCCAGATAACAATAATGATTTAAAAAACAACCAACTTTATTTCATTCAAGGTTTCGCCATTACGATTTTATCAATGTATAAAATAGTCACGTTGTTCATAGATCGTCCATTATTCATTTGTGTAGAATGGTGTGTATATTACTTGTCTTTTATTCATCTTTGATATTGGGATCCCTTTACTTAAAAGTCTTCCATTGTTTCTTAGCGAGCAGAGAAACGGCCTTCGTCCATGCTATCACAGCTGCTGGTGTCGTCCACAGCATTGCCCGTGGGTGTCGGGATGGACAGCTTGGAAGCTGCGGCTGTAGTCGAGCCAACCGACCGCAGAAACTCCATCGCGACTGGATTTGGGGAGGCTGTGGAGACAACATTGAGTATGGCTATCGTTTCGCAGAAGGTTTCGTTGACGTTCGAGAAAGAGAAAATAATTTCCGAAAAGGTTCCAGAGAACAGGGCCGCAAGTTGATGAACCTTCATAATAACGAAGCTGGAAGAAGAGTAAGTACCTGTTTCGTCTACTCCTCTGTTATTATTTTATCATCCCTTATTTTTAAACAGATGTATAGCAACTATAGGGGGAAGCAGGGTTCGCCAGCTATTCACATACATCCGTGTGCTGTACGAAGAGCGTTTCGTCAAGACTAGGTGTGGTAGGGCAGTCAGCCCATAACAAAGTTCTGGCATTCTTTTAAGGGTTAGTTCAGCTGAAGCTTAGAACAATCAAAATATATTGGAAATGACATCGCCTGTTCAAGGTATCTCTCAGTGAAATAGCTATTACGATATATGGATATATATATAATGCCCATAATATGAGCAGTCTTTTGCGAGCCGGGCGTAGCCTAGATGTTAGCGTGTCAGCTGTGGTTTGAAGAGTTCAGAGTTTAATACACACTTTCAACTGTGGTCTCGTCATAAAATCCCACGTAATATATCAACTTTAAGCTTTCAGGCTGGGAGAAGTCATTCTTCAAAGTTATAAAAGTGACAGTCAATTATATTATTCTGTTGTAAGAGTCGGACGAAACTCTTGGGGAGGCGAGTGCTGCTGGCTGACTGTCTTCCTTGTGGTCAGTAGCTCAAAATTAAGAACGTCTATACTTGACCCTTACGGGTATTTGACCACGTTGGTTAGCATTCTTGCACCCTTTTAGGACATCTATAATCTAATGATATATTATCATGTCTCACTTGTTTCTGTTGTTATAGTTATTTTCCTAAAAACAAAATTGGTGCTATCTTTTACGCTTTCATAAAGTCTGAATAGATTGAGGTATTCTAACTGTAAATAATGCATATAGTTGGTTATTCTCAATCTACGTCTAATAAGACTGGTGAAAATGATTGATTAATGTCATCCCGTTCAATCTAGGATTCAGATAACCACGTACCAGGTAAAACAATTTAAATAAGTAAAAAAGGACAAACAACAGGTGGCAGTGCTGTTGATTTATTTAACCTTGTTTAGGATATACTAGTGATCGAAACGTCGCACCTGTTTTTAAAAATATATATTCTTCCTTACTGTAAGAGCTGTAACTTGTAAAATAACACTTATGATCAGTAAGTAACCTCAAACACAACTATTGATTTCTATACAATATTTCTGTGTGTGTATGTTTCTTCTTACTGTTAACATAGAACGTCCAAGTACGTGTATTCTTAAAATCTCTTAATGCGATCATTCACAAGTACACAGATTCGACCGTTAAATCTATATACTTGATAATGATCGCCCCAGTGATCGAAACGTCGGACCTGTTTCAGAAGTAGTCTTCCTTACTGTAAAAGCTGTAACATGTGAAAAGTAATTTTGTAATATGTTTTGATTATTTTTTGAATTCAATATTTGAGTTTAAAACTTTGTTTGCCAATGAAAGGAGTGATAAGAACTAGTGGATATTTTGAGACAGTGTGTGACATTTTGGTAGGTTCTATTTTAATTGTTAAAAAGTTTAGTGTGAAAGAGTGTAAGAAATTAATGGGATAACCATTACTTTGTAATGTGTTATTAATTTCTGTGTAACAATGGTTAATCATAGCATTATTAGAAGAAAGGGACAAAACCAAAGGTAAAATATTGTTGAATTAAATTAAATTAATTAGATAAAAAATAAACAGGAAAGACAAATTACACATGTAATTGAGAGATCCGGTTCAGCAGTCCACGCTCTGATTTCAGTGACTAGTTTTTGGTAGAATTTTACTCATACAAAACACACCATAGTTTTTTATAATTAGAATAATATATTTCTCATTTAATTTCTTTGATAATGAAGATTTATTTTGTGCTTAGAGTCCTTGTAATGTTCTGTGAATATCTATAATTTTATTAACTAGTCCTGAATTTCTGACATTGGTTTAACAGTTGCGGGAAAATGTGGAACAGACAGTTATTGTGTTTATCATAGTATTTCGTTGTAAATTTTGCCTTAAAATCTACTTCAGCCCATGCAGAAAACTTTTCTTATTGCAAGTTGCTGTATAGATATGACTTATACGATAACGTTTTATACATTAGTTTACTAGTATTTGAGCCTAGTAAGGCTGAACTGACTCTTTCAAATGGTTTCACTCACACTAGGGCCTGACATGGCCTGAGGGTTAGGACGCTCGACTGGCAAGTTGCGGTCACCAAACATGCTCACCCTTTCAGCCGTGGGAGCGATATAATGTTACGGCCGATCCCACTTTGCGTTGGTTAAAGAGTAACCCAAGGGTTGGCGGTGGGTTACTACTAGCTGCTTTTCCTTTAGTCTATCACTTCAAAATTGGGAAAAGCTAGCGCAGATAGGCCTTGAGTAGCTTTGCGCGAAATTCGAAAACAAATAAAAAAAAACACTCACACTATGTCGCAAACAATTCGGAGAAAGGGGTTGCGATAACAAAATGCTAAAATAAATGTTACACATTGATACACATTTAGTATTTCATGAAAGTATTTTACGTAAACAATAATACTGATTTTTCAATAGTCAGTCTGATACTATTTATAGAACTGCCATTTTATGTGTTCAAGATTTAGTCTATGCCATGCTGAACTTAAACTGCTGTTAACAATGAATTAGGTGTGGTTCAACTTAATTGACATAATACGTCAAATACACAACCAGTACGGAATTCAGGAGATGTGAAATATGAGTTGAGTTTCTTCTACTTCCTCACCCTGCTGATGTTATTATTTCCATCCTGTATAACACCCATAAATCTATCAGCAACGAGCATGTCGATAGGACCTCTGGTGGTGATTTATAACAGCAGGCGTTGCCTTCGTCACGATCGTGAACTGTTGTGCATATGGGCGTTTGTTTTGTTTGCTTTTTTAACTTTTTGTTTTAGTATTTTTGCATCATTTGTGACGATTTGTTAAATGCATAAAGAAGTTCTTAAAGTGGATGTCCAGGTAATCACTCATTTCACTAAAGGGAACTCACGAACTGCCCCGGGTTGCCATTCCGTATTCAAAACAGGCATATTCACATTCATGAGTTCTGTAGTTCAAATACAGTGACGTCATAGAGCCCGGTACGTACCAAGGAAGGAAAAAAACCGCTCTTTCTCATAGCTGCAAATGGTACACCTGGTAAATTGCTAAACAAATACACAAACGCATAAAGGTCACAGGATGTATCTATTGAATTTAAACCAAAATCTCCACTGATAATGAATAAAATTACGTACCAAAAATTATAAAAAAAATTATCCACCCATAAATATGGTTTAATCATGTTGATAGACTGCCATTCAAACTCCTGACCCGTTCCGTGTGAGGTTACACGTTGGTCACGCCTAAAACAAGCTATAGGTTTATTTTCTTAAGACTTCTACTAATAAGCAAATATTACAGAGGAGTGGCTTTTCATGGGTTTTCCTTGCAAATAATGACTTCCGTCTGAAATAAGTAGCTCTAAAAGTTTTTATTTATTTATTTGTACAATAAATGCCCCTGTTGTGGTGGTTTATACAACAGCCAATTTACTTAGATGTGTTCATACGCGTGTAATAAATCGAGTGATGTTTTGTAAGTGAATAGTTGAATTGAAAATACTTTTGATACTTCTATAACGAGCAATATCTTAAGAGGATTTATATTTCCTTATTCTATAGAAAAAACATTTGTTTGCGGTTTTTGAAGTTTATATAAAACACACGGAAAGTACACCTCCAAAAAAAAAGTGCATCTTTCTCCATTAAATCTTCACTTTTAAATTTACGTATATTAATTTTCTCAAAATAGATGAATGAAAGTAGTATTTATTGCAAATTAAGTCAGCTGGAATTCTTCCTTATTATTAAAACAAAAAAATAATAATTTTGATAGAAAATGTGATCAACAGAAAGTAAGAAAATTGGTAAATATGTAGAAATGTACACACACAAAAAATCAATACGAAGGAGATTGTGAACACACGCACAAAAAAATCAATACGAAGGAGATTGTGAGCCGTGAGAGTTAATTATTATTTTTCTATTCATAAGGAAATACCAGCTCAGCAAAATGTAGAATACACTAACTAGTATCTTGTGGCTTTGGGTTCGTTAATTGGACTTCGAATTAATCTTCAGTGCTGATGACGAGACGCTCTTCACCAGACGAACAAACTTCTGCCTCGACGTAGCTAATTAAACTCTAAAACTAATAAAATCTGACGCTAATTAAATCTAAATCCGCTTATCGGTTTTTATCGGAACACAGTATCGAACTATTTGTGTTTTATTTGGTGCAAATACCCCACCCCAAAAGTAAGTACGTAAAATTATAACCTGGATATTAATTTATATATATATATATTTACATTTTATAACACCACATGGAAACATAGCCAATCAAAATAATTGTTTGTCGAATCTGAAGTATAACGTTATTGGTCTCACTATGGTAAGTCATATAGTAGGATAACTTCGAGTTATTGGAAAAAACAGTTAAAAATTTCATACGGTCAATAAAGCATAATAAAATGAAATGAAAATAATACGTAGATACATGCATTTTCATGAAAGATTCATTATTATTTGTTTATTGTTAAGCACAAAGCTACACAATGGGCTATCTGTGCTGTGCCCACCTCGGGTATCGAAACCTGTTTTTTAGTCTTATAAGCCTTCAGACTTACTAATGAACTGGAAGGCTTCACGAAGGAAAGATCCATTAGACTGATAAAAATGATTTGTACAAAATAATGTCATTTTCACTCATGTGAGAAAGTTTAACATTTGTGTGAAATGTACGCGTGTGTGTGAGAAAGTAAAGTAAATATAGTGAACATTATAAGCATGATATAAAATAATGGAAATATTTGGAAATATGGTGCAAATCATGATTTTAATTTTGAAATGGAAATTGGAAATACATTTAAGTTTCTATGAGTTAATAATAACTAAGTTGACCCAATAATAATTTTTTTTTCTCCTGGCACATTTTTTGCTGATATTTTGCATAATTGAAACTAAGAGAAAAAGACATTATTGTCTAGTAACATAAAAAAAAAAGTATATTT